TGAAATGGTTCACATAGTCACATTAAACACTCAGGACAGACTCACTTCTGGCTGCAGGAATCATACTGGAGGGCTTTATTAAAAACTTTGGGATTTATTAATACCAGTATTGTTGTTGCTTAGTCGCTAACTTGTGTCTGGCTTTTTGTGACCCCATGGATTATAGCCCACCAGGCTCCTCTGTCCATGGCATTTCCCAGGCAAGAATACTGGAGTGGATTGCCTTTCCCTTCTCCAGGGGATCTTGCCAACCCGACCCAGGGAGAGAATCCGTGTCTCTTGCATTGGCAGGCGGATTCTTCACCATCTGGGCCACTAGGGAAGCCCCTTGCTAATACAATGGACTTTGTAAAATAAAACATGAAAATTGAGAAAGGATATTTCTGGCAGGGGGAACAGCAAAGAAATCACTGAATGCTTGGGCTCAGGTATGCGGAAGGAGCCTGGCTGAAGTATCAGTTCTGGAGAGAAGTCAGTGCGTGATAAGATTGCTCGGCTAAGTTGAGACCAACCCATGGAAGGCTGTGGATACCAGCGGGAGGCCTAGGACTTGATTCTGCCGGCCAGGCGGAGTCTCTGAAGGATGCTGACCCCACCCCCCCAACTCCAACCTCCGCCCCCTCAACCCCAACCTCGGACCCCAGGAAGGTGGCCCAGTATCCAGCCCTGCTTAAGGGAGAGAAGCCTGGCAACAGTAAGACGTGGACTCACCCCACATCCAGGAAGCACACACAGGATGACCTCATGTGTGGGCAGCGGAAGCTTTGAGGGTGTCCTTCAACTTGTTCGGCAATAGGAGGGGCCGAGGTCATGGTCTCTCAGCCTTCAGTTCAGCCCTAGGACCACACTAGTTGCAGCTTTGATCTATAGTTTCTTACCCTTCCCTGCAGGTGGCGCCGAGGCCCTGGGACGGATGCCCCTTCTACCAGATCCCAAGCATTGCCTCCTAAACTGGAATTCCAGAAACGCAGCCACTCTGCCTTGGTTTGACAGAGCAAGTGGTCCCCATGCAAGGTGATGGACAGTGAGAGGCACCCCAGACTAAGGAGAGCCTCCTTTTTTGCTCACCACTGCCTGTGAGTCAAGCAGTGACAGAGCAATAGACAGACAGACAGGCCCCAATGCCAGGCCCACTCCAGACCAATGGAATCTGTGTGCCAAGGGATGAGGGCCGCTGCTCTAGGGTCTTGTCCTTCATCACCTTAAAGTCCAGATCACCGCCAAGCCAGAAACATTTACAACCTTTAGAGAAGAGAGGATGGAGTGTCAGGTCCCGTGCTGGGAGGACACAGACGCTCCAGGACCAGGAAACAAAGTTCCTAATTTGTTTCCTGTAATAACGTGTGGCCAGCCTGTTAACAGGTGGTGCAGTGGTAAAGAATCTGCCTGCCAATGCAGGAGACACAGGTTCAATCCCTGGGTCGGGAAGATCCCCTAGAGAAGGAAATAGCACCCCACTCCAGTATCCTTGCCTGGAAAATTCCATGGACAGAGGAGCATGGTGGGCTGCAGTCCATGGGGTCACAAAAGAGTTGGACACAACTGAGCGACTAACACAACCTGTTAACATGGGGGAAACAGAAACACAGCGCTGAACCCCAAGTGTTGATGGTGTAAGCTCACAGTGTCCATTAGAGTCTGGAGTTCTATAAACTCTTGGGAAATTTCAGTGAAGTCATATCAATACCCTTGTTCTCTGGTGTCTCAAATCCAAATAAGAACATTATCCAGGCTTTCAGTACATGTTGATTGAAGCCCTACTATGTCCCTAACCCAGTGTTGGTACAGAGATACCATATGTATCCACCCTCATTCATAGAGCTTACAGTTGGGAGTGGGGAGCAGACAGTCAACAAATAATGTACAAATAAATGTTCAAGTTAGTAGCTGTAAAAATCTTTTTTCTTCTTCCCTGGATTGCCTCAAATGTGAAGGTGCAGCTTTCAGTGTTCCTTTGCTCTGGATGTTTTAGGCCTAACTTTGCTCTAAAGCCAGATTACCCAAGCTCCCAGCACAACTCCATCCCCTGGTGGCTGTGTGACCTTGAGCAAGTTTATTAACCTGTGTTTCAGTTTCCTCATTTATAAAATAAGAATGAGCTAATAATAGTATTTACAGCTATCTAAACTGTTGTGAGGAATGAAGGAACTCATAAAAAGTGCTCAGCAGTTTTCACCATATAAATCTTTGATGGATTTATTCCTAGATATTTGAATTTTTTACTAAAGTTAAAATTGTTTTCCAAATGCCAGCTATTGGTATATGCAAATACAACATTTCATGTACTGGGTCTTTAGCCAGTTACCTTATAAACTCTCTCATTAATTTTAATAGGTTATCTATAGATTCTTTTTCAACTGTCTATGTGTAGAGTCCTGTCACTTGTGAGAAACGACTCCTGTTTGTTTTCTGAGTCTCCAAACCTCCTCTTTGCTCACTGTCCTGCCCGGGGCATCCACTGCAGTGCTGAGTTACAGTGTGAAAGTTAGCCTTCTTTTCTTGTTCAATATGTCATCATTATGCATTATGTTTGCTGTAAGATCCCCCCCCTTTTTGGGGGGTAGATAATCTTTATCAAATAAAGCAATGTCCTTTCAAAAGGATATCATGTTATTATAGGAATGAAGTTAGAAACATTCTTTCCTGGTCCTGGAGCATCTGTGTCCACCCGGCTTGTACCCAACACTCCATCTTCTCTGCTCTAAGTGTTGTTCGTCCTCACTTTGCATGACTTGTACGTGCTAAATCGTGTCCATAACTAAGTGTTTCAATTGTGTCCGACTCTTTGCCACCCCATGGCCCAGGCCCATGGGATTCTCCAGACCTTGGAGTATTGCCATGCCTTCCTCTCCTCCCAACCCAGGGCTTGAACCCATGTCCCTTATGTCTCCTGAGTTGGCAGGTGGGTTCTTTACCACTAGTACCACCTGGGAAGCCCAGTCTGCTTAAGAGTATTTATGGATGTAGACTCTTTTCAATTATCTTTAGGCAGCTATTGATCATGTGACCTTTCTTATTACGATGGGTTATGACTAGTGATTTCCAAATGTTAAAACCATCTGTGAATCTCTGCAATAAACCCAACTCAGTCATGATGTTTCTTTCTTTTTATAAACTGCTGCATTGTTGGATAATACTCTGAGATTTTTGCTTCCTTGAACATTTTTGGAAATTAGCCTGTGACTTTCCTCTCTTGTACTGTTCTTCTCAAGTTCTGGTTTCAAGATTATGCTAGTTTTACAAAATGAGTCCAAGTATTCTATATTTTTCTGTTTCTTGGAATACTTTACATATTACTGAAATAACCTCCTTAAATGAGGTAGAACTTACCAGTGAAGCTTTCTAGGTCTATCATTTTGGGGAAGGTGTTTGATCATCAATGCAATTTTTCCAACGGCGTGAGACTAGTCAGGTTTGCTATGTCTTCCTAAGTCTCTCTTGGTAAGTTGTATTCCTGTGGGAGTTGTTTGAGTTTTCAAATTTTGGGCAAAGTTTGCAAAATCTTTATCTTCATATAGCCTATACCAGAATCTGCAGTGACATCAACTCTTTCCTTCTTGAGATGGGTGATTCCTGCCTTATTTTTTTTTAGTGATGAATCATGCCACAAACTGGTTAATTGTATTAGTTTTGTTAAAACCAAAATTTCTGGCTTTCTTAATTATATCTATTTGTGTTTTTCAGTCACTAAGTCATGTCCAACTCTGTGACTCCACAGACTGCAGCATACCAGCTGTCCTTCACCATGTCCCAGAGTTTGCTCAAACTCTTGTCCATTGAGTCGGTGATGCCATCCAACCATCTCACCCTCTGTCGTCCCCTTCTCCTCCTGCCCTCAATCTTTCCCAGCATCAAGGTCTTTTCCAGTGAGTCGGCTCTTTGTATCAGGTGGCCAAAGTATTGGAGCTTCAGTTTCAGCATCAGTCCTTCCAGTGAATATTTAGGAACTGATTTCCTTTAGGATGGACTGGTTGGCTTTCCTTGCAGTCCAAGGGACCCTCAAGAGTCTTCTCCAACACCACAGTATGAAAGCATCAATTGTTTGGCGCTCAGCCTTCTTGATGGTCCACCTGTCATATCCGTATGTGACTACTGGAAAAACCATAGCCTTGACTATACATACCTTTGTCAGCAAAATCACATCTCTGCTTTTTAGTATGCTGTCTAGGGAAGGCCCTTTATATATTTATGTGTATGCTATTTCCGTAATTTCTACTCTTTTTTAAGATTAATTTAATTGGAGGATAATTGCTTCACAATATTGTGATGTTTTTTGCCATACATCAACATGAATCAGCCATGGGTGCACCTGTTATCTCCCCAGATTTCTCTTGCCTTTACATCTCCTTAACCTTTGGGGGGATTTCCTCTATTGTCCTCTTTGTAAATTCTCACCCTTACCTTTTTTTGTACTCACTTAGGCCTACCCATTTTTAAGTATTAATTTAGCTTAATCCTACAAGTTTTGATACGTGGTACTTACAGTTCAGTTCAAAATATTTATTATGAATTCTTAATTGACACACAGATTATTCAGGAGAATAATTCTTTTCTAATATATAAGAATTTTTCATTTTTTGTTATTTGCTTCTAGCTTAAATCTAAAGTAGGGCCAGAAAACATACTCTACATAATTCTAATAATTTAAAGTTTGTTTAAACTTGCTCTTGGGCTTAGTATAAGGTCAATTTTTGTAACTGTCTTATGTATATTGGAAAAGGAATATTCTGTAGTCCTGTGGTGCAACATTCTAGCTATTCACCAGTCAACTCAATTTTGTGAAATGGTTTGCTCAAATCTTCCATATCCTTCCTGCTTTGTCCAACCGATTTCTAAAAAGAAAAATTATGCTAAAACTTCCCAAATAAGATTGTAAATTTGAATGTTTCCCCTTTTAGCTCTTTAAATGTTGAGGCTCGTCAAGGAGGTTAAGAATGACTCAAAACCCACAACACTGTCAGCAGGAAAGAAGACCCTGCCCGAAACGAGTGAGACAAACACCAGCAAAAATAAGATGGTGTATTCAAATCTCAATATATCAACAATAATATTACACAGAAGTGGATTAAGGGCTCCAACTAAAGAATAAAATTTGCCAAGCTGGATTAAAAGACAAAATCCAACAGGAGGCTGTTTACAGAAGCCACATCTAAAACACAAGGACACAAGAGAGTGGAGAACAAGCCTGGTCCGCCCGCCTGACGAGCTCCTTCCAGAGAGTGGTGACATCGTGGGGTGTCTCAGACAGGGGACTAAGGCCCCCCCTTCTACTGGACCCTTGGGGGGTCGTCTGGAGGCTGTGGGCGCCTGCCCTGATCCGCCCAGGCAGGACCTTCCCACTTTGCTGCCTCACGGTGGCCTCGGCTGACAGGCGGCGGTCGGGACACGGGGGACCCTCTTGTGCGTGAGCGCCCGGGGAGGGGAGGTTCTCTGCCCCCCACCTCCTGACCCCGGGAATTCCTGAGTTCACAACAGTCTGTGGTTTCTCCTACCAAAGTGACCACACTTCCTCACCAAGTAGATGGAGACAGACACAGGACCAAACTCCTAAACTGCCAATGGGTTTGTCACCAAATCAGTGGTTCTAGTAGGCTTTTCAATTCATGACTTGGGAGGGGTGTTGTCCGCGTGGCAGTGGACCTGGGGGATGAACACTGCTGCGGCTCACGGAACCTCTCACTGTTCACTTCATGGCTGACTTTCCACATCCTTAAAAAAGGACCTGAACTTCCCACAGCGTCCAGCCGGACTGGGAGCCCCCTGGCCTGGGCGGCATCAGGGCGCGCACTGTCCTAACTCAGCCAGAGGAAGCCCCTCGCCCCATCTGAGTCTGTGTGCTCCTCCACACCTGCGGCGCAGGGCGATGCAAAGACTGGTATTTGCAAAGCCCGCAAAACCAGCCTTAAAATGTCACACGGGCCTGTCAGGCAGGCCACCCCACCACCACCACCACCACTCCTACAGAGGGCGAGCAGAGGGCCGGACAAGCCCTCCTCCTTTCAGCTCAAGCCCCTGGTCCACAGCGCCGATTCCATCAGACCCTTCCGATGGCTCTGAAACGGCCCAGCATCACTCCCTACACAGACTGGAGGCAGCTGGATTCGTCTTTCTAGGCGGAAGGCCTAGACCTCTAATGTTCCTTATTCTTCCTCAAGTTATCGCTAGCTGTGAAGGCTGTGTGTTTAAACAATCTACTTACATGATCTCATACACCTAGCTTCTGAGACGGTCATCGAGGGACTTACTCCAGTCCTGGAAACATTCTAACACCCCCTTTTGATGGTCTGTTCACCCGGCCACTGGCTCTCCCGCTGTCGGCATCAGTGCCTGCTCCTTCCACAGGGACCATGAGCAGCACAGGCCAGGCCCTGCTTGTGTCCCCAAAGATCCGATTTTAGGGGCGCGCTGGGCAAACCAGCCAATGGGTTCCTCCCTTGAGCACTCACTGCAGCTACAGCCCCCCTGGGTCCCAAGCCAGCTCGGGCCTCAGTGCTGTGCCTGGTTCCCTAACAGCACAGCTGGGCAGGGCCTTCCCAGAGCGCATGGACCGCGTCCCGAGGACTCCTCAGATCAGGTAAGGGCTTGGTGGGCAAAGATCGGGGGAAAAAGATCAGAAACGCAGTGATGACAGGCAGGTCACTCCTGATCCCCCAAGGGAGGGGTGGGGCCCAGGGCAGCCTGGTGGCCCCAGGAAAGCGGGCCTAGTGACCCTGGTCATACTGCCTCCTCCCACCAGGACCAAGGTGAGCTCGCTCCCTCATGTGAGTCGGAGGTTGGATCGTGCACCCCCGTCCCCAGATTCACACACTGGAACCCTAACAACCCCAGGACCACGAACGAGACCTGAGTTAGAGATGAGGTCTTTACGGAAGCGATCGTGTTAGAGGGAGGGCCTGCGGATGGTGTCCTTAGACAAAAGGGACACTGAGGGGCATGAGCAAAGGGGGAGCACCCTGGGAACGCGAGGACAGTCAGCGACCGGCCCTGCAGAGGGGCCTAGGGCAGACTCAGGAGGAACCAACTCTGCCGACACCTGCGCCTTGGACCTCTGGCCTCTGAACCTGGAGGATGTAAATGTGCGTTGTTGGAGGCTCCTGGGCTCCACAGCGGACTGTCACTACGGGCCCAGGAGGCCAACTCACACGCCACTCTCTCCCTGGAAGTTGGTGGAATTCTTCCCCCAACTTCGGGGAGGCTGCTGGATTCTCTGGAGGAGGCAAGAAGGCAGGAGCCAGCTTGTCCCCAGTGCCGATGACAGCCATACAGCCACACTCTGGTGCGGCCCCTCTGAGCGCCCTTCTTCCCCTTGGCAAGCACCCTCAGTAATTCAGAATGCACAGAGGTACCTCCAGCCTCAGCCAGGGGGCAGAGATCTGTCCCAAAGGGAAGCTAAGCCCCCGTGGACCAGGAAGACAGGCGCCACGCTCCGCAGCGCTGAGGCCAGGATGGCAGGTGCTGAGACGAGGTGCTCTCGTGGCCCCTTTGCAGCGGCTCAGGGCACCCCGGGCACACGTGGCGTGCCCACACATGGCACACACACACACACACACGTGGATGCACACTGCCCCCGTGCCCGTGTTGGCAGTTCTGGTGGCAAGGGCCGGAGGGGGAAGCGACATTTAAATTAACCTGAGTCAAGAAAGCCAGAGGCATGGTTGGGGAATGCAAGCCCCCCAAACGGTGGCCTCCCTGAGCAATGGTCACCCTGGAGTCAGGGGGCCCCCTTCACGGCCCCAACGTGGGGAAGGTTCTGCTGGAGTGGGGCGAAGTGGCCGGAGGCGGGGCACCCTCTGCGGGGCTGAGTCCACGAAGGTGGCAGTTAGGGGGTCCCAACCCTGGGTCCCTGTGCTCCCCACTCCACCGTTCACTCTCGAGGGCTCTCTGGAGCCCCACCAGCAGGCCACTTGGATCTTTGGGCCACTTTGGGGTCCTGGGTGGGGCAGCCACCGCACCCCGTGGTTCTGCCTCTGCAGTGCCCACCGAAACAGCCACTTGAGGGGGCGGGGCAGCCAGCAGTGAAAGGGGAGGGGGGCTCTGGCGGGCCTCGGGGTGCCCGAGGGGGTGACGTACAGTCTGCACAGCGGGGCCGCTGCAGGCTGAGGAGTGAGGCTGCTGGGTAGGGCTGGAGCCGGGCCCCGGGGGCTCCGCTGAGGGGGTGTCCGGAGGCACCTGACGGAGCCTCCCACTGGACAGGCCTGGCGACGGGTCCCCGGCCCTGCAGCCTTCAGCCGGGCTCCCCCGCAGGATCTTCGGTCTCGGCCTGGGGGGGCCCTTGTGCCTCCAGTAGGGCGGGTGTCTGTGGGCAGGGCCGCTGGCCGAGCGAGGGCCCCGGGGGAGGCCCTTGGGCCCCAGGCCCCGCGGGCGGCGCCCGAGTCGATCCACCTGGGTCCTCACGGCAGCCACCTCCTGAGCCAGGCCAGCCAGGGCCCCGGCCAGCTGGTCCAGCTTCTCCGAGAGGGCGGTGCCCAGGCTGCGGAGCTCCTGCCGCAGGGAGGTCCCACAGAGGCACGGCGGCCGCGGGGAGGTGCCAGGCAAGGCCCCAGGGACGGCGGCTGTGGGGTCTGGCTGGGGCACACCCCCAGGAGGGGGCCCGCCGTCAGTGCCAGCTGAAACCAGAGCGGGGGGCGGTGAGTGTGATCGGCTGTCAGGACATTCCCTCCCCCGAGTCCCTCCAGCTGGCATGTCTGTCACCCTGCCCACTAAGCGAAGGAAGGTCCTGGGCGACGTGGAAGGCTGCCTCCCAAATTCACGGGCGAGACAGATCACAGGCCGGGTCTCCACGGAAACCAAGCTGGCTTAGGACAGACACCGCCCAACCTCCTAGGAAAAGGACTGGTGGGGCCCTACCACTGCCCCAGAGCAGCTAATTCTGCTCTGGAGGGTCAGCAGGCAGGGCCTCGAGAAGCCGCCAGGAGGCAAGGCCACGGGCAGTGTCTAGAGAGGCCCAGGTGTTTCCAGCTGGGGGACAAAGAGGGCTGCATCAGCACCTAGTGCTATTTGTTCTTCAGTCGCTCAGTTGTGTCCAACTCTCTGCGACCCCATGGATGGCAGCACGCCAGGCTTCCCTGTCCTTCACCATCTCCTGAGTTGCTCAAACTCACATCCATTGAGTCAGTGATGCCGTCCAACCATCTCATCCTCTGTCGTCCCCTTCTCCTGATTTCAATCATTCCTAGTATCCAGGTCTTAGTCATAAGCAAATCACAGGGGTCCCCACCCCCTCCTGACCTTTACCCTCCCTAATCAAATTATAGACATAGGACTTTAAGACTTAACTTACTTTAAAAAAAAAAAAGTCACCTACCCCTTCACCCAAAGCTCTCTTGGACCTGGTCTTCACCTGAGGCCAGCCTCATAAGGAAGCCCCGTTACCACCTGGAGCCGCAAGACAGACCTGGTCTCCAGCCATGTCTGAGTCCCCAGACCAGCTCCGGCCTGCATCTCCCAGGACCCCCGGGACTTCAAACAGCAAAAGTGGAGACTGGAGCCCAAGGACGCAAACGCTGCCCGGCCACGTTCTTCAGGAAGGATCTCGGCTAAAGGTCAGCAACAGTGCTGCTGTCCTGGCTGTCCTTCTGACCAAGGCGGGGCAGCGGGTCCACGGGCCCCGGGCCAGCTCAGCACTCCTGATAAACAGCCGTACCTCCAGGCAGGACAGGCCCACGACACACCGGAGCCCCCACCACAGGCTTCAAGCGTGAGGATCGGGGTGCACAGCCCAGAGAGGACCAGGCACCGAGCCCCACCCACCCGCTTCTGCTGTGGTCTGGAAGAGCTTCCCGGGGTCAGTGATACAGAACGCATCTCTGGGGACTTTCCCACCTGGTCACTCACTACTGACCCTCATTTTCCCTACCTGGTCTCTAAAGTCCCCTCAAACCCCAAACTTTGATTCTGGATGCATCTATTCAGTGTTTGTTTTGCCCTTAAGAACCGTCTGCGTACTTTCATAAAATAGCCAGCTATTCCTGTAGGAAAACCCTGAAATGAAATAAGCCAGCTAAAGTGGATTCAATGTGAGGTTCTCCCAACTTATGACCCAAATGAGCCTGGAAGGCTGTTCAGAGAAAGCCTATCCCAGGCGTGACCCGGGGGTTCTTGCTGGCCCACCCCGCCAGAAGGAGCTGAGCAGCGGGGAAGGAGGGAGGGGTGACCGTGCAGACACTGAGCCCCAACCGCAACCCCCACCCCGTGCCTGCGGGGCTCTCATACTTGAGGGGCCAGGGGAGCCCCAGCTCACCTGTCACACCTCGTCTTCCATCCCCAGGCCCGAAGCCCCTGGATTCTTCACCAGCGGTCGGCTTCCAGGACTGGAGCCTGTGGGCTGACCCAGGAGGCTGGCAGGGCCCAGGCCCCGGCTTTCTCCCCAGCTGAGTGGCAGGGCAGGGATGCACAGCGGACCGTGCGGGAAGAGCACTGAGCATCTCCGGTGTGGACACGCATGGCTCCGCCACGGCCACACTGACGGGGGCTCCTTGGACATGGCCTAAAACAAAACAAAACTTTCAACTTTCAAACACTGGTGAAATGAGGTGCAAGAGAGTTACACTGGGCTCGCCAGGAAGCCCATCTCTGCTTGAATGGCTGGCTGGGGCCCGCGGGCTGAGTGAAGGTGGGCATTTTTTCCAGAATCCTCTGCAGTTCCAGCACGATGCCTCTGGCTCCCCCAGGAGGCTGGAGAGAGCAGGTGGAGAGGGCCATGCCCGCAGGTCCAGCCCCTGGTAAAGCTCCTCCAGGGACGTGCTGCGGGCCCTGGGGGTCCATGCCCAGCCCACTCTGCTGTCTCCTGTCAGGCCCACAGGCAGGGAGGAATGTGGGGACCAGCCAGGGCCTGTTTGGAGGCCAAGGACTGGGTGAAGTCACTGGCCTGAGTGCAGGGGGGGCCCCTCTTCCTGGACCTGGCAACCCACCCACCCCTACCTCCTCCAGTGCTGCTCAGGGGGCCGGGTGGTCCCAGGGTCTCCAAGCACACCTCTCTCCAGGGCGAGTGGGACCTGCCTCCCAGCTTCTCTTCTGCTTTTCCTGCTGGGAATGATTACTGGCTCAGACTCTTCCTGGACCTGGCAACCCACCCACCCCTACCTCCTCCAGTGCTGCTCAGGGGGCCGGGTGGTCCCAGGGTCTCCAAGCACACCTCTCTCCAGGGCGAGTGGGACCTGCCTCCCAGCTTCTCTTCTGCTTTTCCTGCTGGGAATGATCACTGGCTCAGGACTGGACTGAGAAGCAAGGAGGTGTTGATACATATATATATATATATATGCACGCATACATGCTAAATCGCTTCAGTCATGTCCGACTCTTTGCGACCCTATGGACTGTAGCCCACCAGGTTCCTCTTTTCATGGGATTCTCCAGGCAAGAACCCGCTTCTCCAGGAGCGGGTTGCCATTTCCTTCTCCTCTTACATATACCAAGTTTACTGGGCTTTCCTGGTGGCTCAGACAGTAAAGAATCCACCTGCAATGCACAACATTCGAGTTTGATCCCTGGGTCGGGAAGATCCCCTGGAGGAGGACATGGCAACCCACTCCAGCATCCTTGCCTGGAGAATCCCATGAACAGAGGAGCCTGGTGGGCTACAGTCCATGGGGTTGCAAAGAGACACGACTGAGCGATGGACACTTTGACTTTCCAAGTTGATTACCAGGCCTTTAAACACACTTGTTTGACAACCCTGGGGCCCCAGGGGCCTCAACATCTCCACCTTCTTTTCTCGGACACGGCTCATCCTACGGGGAACTCAGGCGTGACAAAGGCAGAGAGCCTTCCGGCAAGAGTCAGGCCAAGTGATGAGTGGGACTGTCCCTGCACCCGTGGCCCTCCTGGGGGACACACACCCCCGCTCCTCTGGAGACCCCGGGCTCACCTGCAGTGAGGTCACAGCGGTGCCCGGGCTCGCGTCTCCTCAAGCCTTCCCCAGGGCTGCAGCCAGCACGGGGGCCGCCATGGTGTGGGGACGGGGGGCCAAGGCCCTTGCCGCTGGGAAGGTGGTCCCTCTCTGGCACAAATAGAGCCGGGGTCAGGGTGGCGCTCACACGCTGGGGCCGGGCTCCCAGTCCCCCTCTCCCCCCAGCGAGCTCACCCTGCAGGAGGGGCTGCCAGAGCTCGGGCTCCGGCCTCGGGTCTTCTCCTTCTGAGCTGCTGATGCTCGAGCTGGAGCTGGAGCAGGGGCTGGGGCCCAGGCCAGCCAGGCAGGCAAAGCGCAAGGGGCCCCCGGGCAAGATCCCTTTCAGAGAGTTCTCCAGGCAGTGGAGCGGGGAAGGCTTGGTGGCTGGCCCTGGGCAAACGGCAATCGAAGAGCCCTCTGTCCGGGAACCCGAGGACAGGCCGGAGGGCCTTGGCCTCCGTGGGCCAGCACGAGGAGCTGGTTCCCCTCCAGCTCAGCCCCACACAAGCTCTGGGGGAGCCTGAACAGCATCCCGTGGCCACGGGAAGCGGAGGGAAGCAAAGCCAGATGCTGGTCTGGCCCCCAGCCACTCTGGAAAGGCCGTGGCGGAAACTTCCAGAAGCCTCAAGACCCTGGAGGCCACTAACAGTCTGGTCCAGGCCAGGCTCTGGGGCTCATAAGCCAGGCGGCCCTTTCTACTTGTGTTCATTCAGGACCGGCAGCCTGCGGAGAGGCTCAGTTAAGTCCACCAGCTCTTGCCTGGTGGGAGTATGACAAATACCTGCACTTTCTCAATTAGGNGCCTCTGGCCAGGCCGCTTCCAGAGGGTCGTCTCATCTTAGACCGGGACGTGGGCCCACCCACATTACCTTCTGTGCCTGCCACCCAGTTCCTGGGCTCTGCTCGCCGTGGCCCTCCATCTCCGGCCGAGGAGCAGGGCCAGGCCGGCTGCGGCCGGGGTGCAGGTATCTCTCTGAGACAGTTCTCCAGGCCCTGGAGCGGGGAGCTCCCCATGGGGCTTCCTGTGAAAACCCAACACTCGTGGTCCTGGACAGCCAGAGCTCAGTCCTGCGAACCCCGGGAGCCTTGCCTGCACCCCAGGTCCACTGCAGCTGGAGCCCAGGGCCTGTCATGCTTGCTCAGGGCACCCAGATGGAGACCTGGCCTCAGACCCGTGTCAGCCCTGTCTCTGGGTGGCCCTGGGAGAGGCCTCCTCATCTTCACCGCCTACAGAGAGAAGCCAGTCAGCAGGCCAGCGGGCCACTGATGGGGGAGATGGGCCCCAAGGCTGGAATGTCGTCAGCTATTCACTATTCACGTGACTAGTCAAAGAGGGAAAAGGGTACAGATGCAGCAAGTGAAGAAGGAGAATGTGAATGCATTTCAACTCAAGGATAAAAACACACTGCAGAAATCCTATTTCGAGTGACAGCACTGGAGAAGCTGTAGCCACTACTTGAACTGAAATTCTAGATAAAGGAAAGGCCCCTTCCTTCCACATCTCAGTCAAGCTCTTTCCTGAAAAGCATCTTTGCTGATGCGGGTGTCAGGCAGAGAGTGGGAGAAGAGAGAAGCTGCCAGAGCTCTGGGCATCGTGGGGCTGGGACCTCAGTGTCTCGAGAAGAGCCCTGCACATGGCTTCCCCATGGACGCTGCGGGGTTCTGGGGCGGCGCAGGGACAGCTAGGGGGCCAGGCTGGACGCGTCCACAAGGCGACGTGAAGTCACCTGTTTGGGTGACTCAGAAAACCGGGTCTGCCAATAGAGGACGCTAAAGAAGGAACCAGAGACAGAGCAGCTGCAGGAAGAGGGGAGGGGCCCGCGCAGCACCAAAGGGAAGCGGGAAGATGGGGAGCTTGGCGGAGAAGCCACAAGAAGGACGCTCGCTGGTGCAGGAACACAGGGCCCCAAGCCCATCCGCTGGCCCTGGAGGGCCCAGCGCAGAGCCCCGGGGGTGGCTTCAGGCCTTTCCACTGACAGTGTGAGGCCAGGACACAGAGGTGAGTCCCGGGGGACCAGGTGTCCGTGCACAAGGCAGACAGGGAGCCCTGGGATTGTTCAGGTGGAGAAAAGGGTTGAGGTCCTGCAAGGTCCCCTCACGGATGGACCTGGGAGGCTCAGGCACCAAACAGACCATCCAAGATGGCTTTACACATTTTCCCTAAGTTGGAGAATCAGGCAGATGTTACAGACACTGCCTTCTTCAAGGCTGGAATGAGGAAGTATTTGATGCTTCTAGTGAGAAACATCAAATGCTTTTTAGAGATCTTGGGTGTTGTCCTGCCTCTTCTGAGCCAAGTCACTAAAACAGACCCCCATCCCCCAAAAGGTCTGCTCTTTGCAGCCGTACCGGGCGTGGAGGCCTGGCTCGGACACTGGTCGGATAGGACGCGTGGCGGTGGGCAGGGCCGCCCCCCGCCCTTCCCCAGGACCCACTCCCAGTCTCAGGCTGGCCAGCTCACCTTTTCCCGGCCGATGCCCCTGGCTGCGCTCAGGGGTCTGGAAATCCAGGTCCCCGTCAGAGCTGCTGGACGACGAGAAGCTGCTGGGGGTGCCTTGGGAGCCCAGGGGCAGGGCCGGACTGTCTCTTGTGCAGCCCTGCAGGCCCAGAGCCGGCAGAGGCCCCACGACCACCTCTGTGGGCAAACGGCACGGCTGGCATCGAGGGGAAACCGCGGGCCAAGAGGTCCCCTGGGCGCTGGGCTGCGGACGGGCGCCCAGCCCTGCCCCAACACCTCTCCCGTGCGATCTCCCTTGAGGTTAGGGTGCTCACGGCCCTGATTAAAAGCCAGTAGCTCATTAACCCACATAAACCCAACTGCTGGCCTCAGGGGCCTAGAGGGCCAGGGAAGCTCTCAGAGGTGGCAGGAAGCAGAGTTTAACTGGCTTCCACCAAACGCAGGGGCTGTTGGGGGGCAGGCATGAGACGGGGCTGGGAGACAGGGGCATGTGTACCCCACCTTTGGCCCGGGATGAGGAGGGGGGACCTGATGGCATCCTCAGCACTCCCCCCCACTGACCCCGTTCCGTGCATAAGGACAAATGCCACCCCGAGCCCACGGCGCGGGCTACCTTTGCTGTGTGGTCCGCGGTGCGGCAGCTCGGGCCTCTGAGACCCGGGGTCTCCTGGCTGGGGGCTCCGGGACCAAAAGCTGGCCGGCGGCTGGGGAGGTAACGACCCACTCAGGGGAATGCCCCTCAGACAGGCCTCCAGGGCTTCCAGGGGTGAGCTCGAGGCGCTGCCGGCTGGGACGGGGAGATGGCCCATCACCATCTCTGGCCCGTCATCCCCCGCCCCGGCCCAGCCCCAGCTGACTGCCCGGCCTGCCTGCCTTCCACAGGGGTGGCGAGTCCCGCACCAGGCGTGGGGTCTGCCAGGCAGGACACCCTTCCCTCTGTGCCAGTTCCCATCGGCTCTCTGCTCCCCAGTCTGGGGGAGCGAGGCCAGCTGTATCCAGGCCCAGGGGCAGGTGGAGAGAGAGCCATAAGCAATGGGCAGCTTCCCAACACTTAGGGATTCTCTGCAAAACCGAGGTCCTTCTAATGGAAGACTCCCTGGGCAAGGGCCTGGGTTAAAGAGCAAGGAGATTAAGGGACGGGATTAACCACTTGGGACCCTGAAGAAGGAAATGGCAACCCACTCCAGTATTCTTGCCTGGAAAACCCCATGGACAGAGGAGCCTGGCGGGCTACAGTCCGTGGTGTCGCAAGAGTCGGACACGACTTAGCGACTAAACTACCACCACCACAACCGCTTGGGAAGGAAGGCCAGGCTGATACCTCTGTCCACCCATGAGACAGCCAGGTGCCCCTTCCCTGTGGGCTGGCAGAACCTTCGTGGGGGCCTGAGAGCCCCACCCGAGAGGACGTGAGCAGACAAGCCCAGGCCTCACCTTGAGCTGCAGAGCCCCAGCTGGGCACCCGCACCTGGGCGGGGGCGGTGTCTCTGATATTCCTGGGGCTGCTGGTGGCAGAGGGGCCGTGGGGCCGCTTGCTGAGCTGACAGGATGTGGGCTCCGGGGGCCCCTGGGGCCAGCTGTCCTCCACCTTCACTGCAGAGAGCACGCTGCCAGCTCCCGGCCCAGGCCCCGGAGGAGGGGTCTGGAGAGGTCGGAGTCCTGTGGGAAGCCCATCATGAGGTCTCTATAGGGTTAGGATGGGGTTTCCACGGCCCCCAGCTTCCACAGCCATCTCAGCTCCAAGACAGTCACTGCCCAACCACCAGCAGATGGACCAAATCCCACCTCCACGTCTAGAGGTTTCTACCAAGGGGTGATGCCAAGACAGCCCACCCCAGGAGCACCAAGTCAAGGTCCTGCTTCTGAGGCCAGCAGGCCCGCCTCCAAACGACTCTATCAAGAGTTCTGAAATACCAATGACCCACGGTGAACCCAAACGATCACAAGAACCTCCACATTGGAAAGAGCCCCAGAATGGGCACTACCCGGAGCTCTGCCTTCTGCTTTTTGTCTCTCCCTCCCAGCCATTCCCGCCTTCCTTCTGGAACCCTCAGCTCCTACTCTAAGAGCCAACTTGGAACGTCTGCACATTGATGCACCTCCCACATGCCCAGCTCCTTCTATAGCATGAGCCCCAACGTCTGGCCACTCCAGCCGACACGCTGACGTGTGGGCCCAAGTGTCTAGTAGTGGAAGGTCTGCTTGGAGCAGAGAAAGGAAACAAGTGATGCCCAGGGGCCTCCCTGCCCAGCTGGCGGCCTTTACCTCCAGAATTCCTTTTCCAGGCCCCTGGGTCCTCCCGCAGCTGTGGGTCGCTGGCTCCTGAGGGGCTGGGATGCCTGTCCCGAGCCTCGGGGATCTCCTTCAGACAGTTCAGCAGGCCCTGGAGGGGACAATCACCCGAGGCTGCCTCTGTCTTCACTACAGGAAAAAAGGAACACGCGACCCCTTGAATCCGGTGACCACAGTCTCGGTGACAACAGCCGAAAGAGGGATCAGTCAAAGGTCCAAGGCCGGAAACCCGGGGATGTGGGTCTTCTTGCAACTGACTCAGCCTTGCGCGGGGCCACTGTCTTAGCGCTTGGTTTAAAAATGCCTGGCCACACCTCCCAGAGCTGGCTGGGTAAAAGGAAGATGAGGTTCTGCTCTGAGAACGAATGAAGGAAGTGGGTGGCCTGGCTCACTACTTGGAGACAGTTCTCTTGGCCTTGAACAGAACTTAATTTGAGGAGGCCCAAGCGTTTTACAAACACACACACATTATTAGTGCGCCTAAGCCTCAGGACAGTCCTCTAAGGTGAGAACACTTACCCCTTTCACAGACGGGAAACTGAGGCTCGAAGCCTCAAGGAGCTTTTCACAGTCTGCCTGGCTACCAGGCTTCAGAGTTCAGGACTGGGGCTCCAGCCCCCACCATATCACCCCCATCCCAAAGCCCATCCCAAGCATCCGCTTAGTGTCAACAAGAAGTGCCCCTCAGCCTCTTATTCTCAGATGTCCCACCTTAGGATGAATCAAGAACCCATAAGAATCCAGGGCAAAATCTATTTCTGAGTTTTCTTCTACGAGCTGATGATGCTGACCATGCTATTCCCCTATCACAGCCATCTGGCTCCAGAAATGTGACACCAGAGATACTGGAGCAGCCAAGCTGGCAAGTATCCTTAGGGAAGGCGTCATATTTACAGAGAAGTACCTACAGAGAGCACCTGGAGCTCTCTACGGGCTCAGAAACCTTGGCCCAAGGAGACAGGTCCGCAGGACTCACCGGCCCAGGGCGGGCCCCTAGGCCCCAGCTCTGCCCTGGTCAGCTGAGAGGCACCCAGGCTGGGGATGGACGATGGTGGCGAGCTCCGTGGTCCCTCGGGGCCCTGGGGCCCAGGCTCAAGGATCTCCTTCAGGCAGTTGATGAGGCCTTGCAAGGGGCTGTGCCCAGGAGAGATGCCCGCAGCTCCTGCAAGGCCAGCCTCGATCAGGTTTCCCACCCGTGACCATAGGGATGCCGTCTGCCGGGTAGGGCCGTCAGGAGGCCCAGGTGGGGGCCACACAATGCCTCCCCACCCACCCCCCATACTTAGCCCCACCCTCAGGAGAGCCGGCCCCTCACCTGCCCCCGGGGTCCCTCTCTCCAGATTCCTGCAGCTCTTGCTACTGCCCTGGCTGTAGGTGGTGGGGCTGGGCTCCCGGCCAGGGGCTCCTGGGCTCCCCTCCTCCACGGGCCTCGGCTTGTCGGCAGTTTCTGTTGCAGGAGAGACAGGCAGGCCTTTCCAGCCCTGGCTCCACACCCTGAGAAATCACTCCCTCCCCACACACAGAGGACGGGCCTCCCCAGCTTCTAACTGCTCCCTGAGGGACAGCTGAGTCCTGGGAACTTGGTGGCTCTGCCAGCTACAATCGGCTTGTTCCCAGAGTCCATCCCAAGGGTGGCAGAGTCCTTCCCCATTTCCTTCCGGTGTGAATGTAAACACAAGGCTGCTCGCTGCGGGACCCTCCCGTGAGGGCAGCCTCTGATTGCCTCAGCAAGTCAGGCCCCAGCCTTGCACTCAACAATTCTCAAAGCTGGACACCTGGGACCCCAGAGGAAAGGTGCCAGCTGACACCTGAAACTACAGGCTAAATGGGGCATGCTTTTCTTTTTTTTGGTGGCCACCCGGCATGTGGAATCTTAGTTCCCTGACCAGGGATTGAACCCACGCCCCCTCCATTGGAAGGGCGGAGTCTTAACCACTGGACCACCAAGATTAAGCCCCTAAACAGGGTATTTTTTTTTTAGCACTGGCTACTTTATGCCATATTAATTTAAAATAGTTTAGATAAAAATAGATATTTAGACAAGTATAAAATCTTCAAGCATTTTAAAAAATAAACTGAGACCCAGAGAAATTCCAAAGGCCAGCCTTGTCTTCCCCTGCTGTTAGGGCTGCCCTGATGAGAGGTCTGAGAGTCAGGTCCACAGGCGCGTTGCCCACAGCACTCTGCGAGTGAGGCTGAGCATCCTGAATCCTCGCTGGTCCCCAGACAGAGGCCAGCACCAGGCCTGCTCCACACACCGTCCCCTGCCCCACTGAGGAGCTGGACCCAGTTATAGAGGAATTCAAGTCCTGGAAAAGAATCAAGATGGTGTGGGCCCCCTGCACTGGGTCCTACTCACTGATGGGGCAGGGGCTCCCCAGCACCCCCGCTCCAGGGGTGCTGCTGGATGAGCTGCCGCTGGGCGTGGCGGCCAGGCCAAGCCGGCCCACAGGTGTATCTGGAAGGCAGCTGAGCAGGTCTTGATGAGGGCACGTGTCCTCCGTCACAGCTGTGGGGGGCGGGGAAACACTGGAATTCAGCCTGGCAGGAGGTACAGTGCCCCAACACTGGCCCTTCCTTGCCACGTTCCACCAACAATGACCATTATGTCAATAACCTCTGCCTTGTCATCCCTGGGCTCTGAGATGTAGATGCAGGTTGTGGCCTTGTTCTGATAAGATCTTCCCCAGCTGACCATCAGCTAAGGGGACGCAAAGAAACCCTGCAGGCTGGGGCTGGGGGAGACAGACTCCTGGGGAGGCGGGAGAGCCTTGCAAGCTTGGGGGAGGAAGAAGTCTGGTGAGATGGGGAGAGTACAGGCTGCGGGGGACCCGGCCACTGGACACTCATCTACAGAACAGGGACGGCCTCACCTGCCACGTAGGGCAGGATGCGACGGGGGCCCCAAGGACGTGGATGAAGCCGTGGCGAAACCACTAGAAAAAGCCAGAGGCCGCAGTCTCTCCCCTGTCCGTGTCCTTTCAGGCCACCGGCCTGCCACCCGGCCATTCACGTTAACAGGTAACTCCACCCAGGGGCCGGGCTGGCAGCTTGAACTCGTCTGTGGGATGCAGCGGGGGCCCGCCGTAGGACTCACCCTCGGGACTCACAGCCGCTCCATCCAGGCTGGCTCCCCCACTACTCTCAGGGCTGCCTTCCCTGAACAGGAACTCGGGGATCTCCTGCACGAGCTGCACCAGGGCGCTGAGGTGCAGGCTGTGCTGGGGGGCTCCTCCTGCCAAGAGACCACAGTGAACCCCCGCCCCCCCAACATCAGTCAGCACGCGCTGCATCTCATGTAACCTTCCCACCACGGGAAGGGCCGCAAAGGAGACACCGATGTCCACAGAGAGGACCTGGGTTCAGGGCAGGTGCCCCGCGTGTGGGCACGGCAGGACCAAGATGCTGGGGGCTGCGGGTAACAGAGTTCCTCTCTGCTCTGTTCCTCTGTCCCTGCTGGGCCATGGAGGGGACGCCAAGGAGGGCTGCCTCCCCATCTCCACCACCATCCAGACTCCTGCCTCTCCTGCCAACCCCTGGACCACATCCACCCGCCCGAGCTCTCTGGACCTTCAAGGGCTGCAACTGGCTCTGCTTGGGTGGCGGGGGGAGGGGGCCTGAGAGGTGAAGACTCTCTCAGGGTGAGCCCAGGCTTCTTCTGAGTGCTTCACACAATGAGCAACAGTATACCAGGCTCCTGGTCCAGAGGGGTCGGGGGTGAAAGGTCAGGGAAGGGTGGGTGTGGTGAGGTGGGGGGTGCTGAGGTCATGGTATCCTGTAGGGAATGAAGCCAGGGGCCAAGGACCACACGGTAGGAGGGACATAAGTGAGTCCACCGGGGCCCAGGCGACCCATGGGGATCAGGACCCCCGAGGGGCTCTCATCTGCACAGATTACTCACCCAGGGGGCCTCCTCCCTGGGTTGGCTCCTGCCCGTCTCCAGCACGGCTCCAGGCCCCCACAGCTCCTCCAGGCTCTGAGGGAGATAGGAAGGCCGAGAGGGGGAGCGGCTCCGCCGTCCCTGGGAAGGAAAAGAGGGCCCATCCCTGGGAGTGGAAGCCAGCCTCTGCCCTTCTACATCATCACACCAGAGGCCAAGGCACCCAGACATCCAGGCACCTGTGTACATGCGTGTATGTGTGACCACCCAAACCCCATGTACATGAGTGTACATGTGTTTCCGTGTGACCACCCAAAGCCCATGTACATGCATGTACACATCTATCCATGTGACCTCCCAAACCCCATGTACATGTGTGTACATGTCTATCCGTGTGACCTCCCACACCCCATACCCAGACATCCAGGCACCTGTGTACATGCGTGTATGTGTGACCACCCAAACCCCATGTACATGAGTGTACATGTGTTTCCGTGTGACCACCCAAACCCCATGTACATGCATGTACACATCTATCCATGTGACCTCCCAAACCCCATGTACATGTGTGTACATGTCTATCCGTGTGACCTCCCACACCCCATGTACGTGTGTACACGTCTACCCATGTGACCACCCAAACTCCATGTACATGTGTACATGTGACCACTCATACCCTGTGTACATGTGCACACACATGCCTGTATGACCACCCAAACCCCATGAACACACATGTACATCTATCCATGTGACCACCCAAACCCCATGTACACGTGTGTACGTGACCACCCAATCCCTGTGTGCATGTGTACACATGAGTATGTTCGTGTGACCATCCCAAACCCTTGTCATGTGTGTATATATGTGTGTCTGTGACCACCCAGACCCCAGGGACCATCAGAACCTCCAAGACCAGTGCCGTTGTGCCAGTTGTTTGGTACCCCCACCAAATCACACCCAGACCCTTGGTACCATCCACAGAAACAGTGGCATGGAAGGCCTGAGAGGTGCCCCCCAGCTCAGCACCAGGCTCTTGGATGCCACCTCACTGTGTGAACAAAGACTAAGGCCCCACGAGCCGCCCGAGGTCCCGGGCGACCCTGGGCCCTCGAGGTGCTGCGCCACCACCCTCCCACCCGACGCCGGGCCCCGCCCGCTCCTCACCCAGGGAGGCCAGCGTGTCGTAGTTCTCCCGCATCACGTCCAGGTAGAGCGCCCTCTGGCCCTCCCCCAGCAGCCGCCACTCGTCCTCGGAGAACCGCACGGCCAGGTCCTGGAAGGCGATCGACACCTGTGGGCACAACCTCAGGGCAGTTGGCTCGTTCCCTCCCAGCAAGTCTGCCCCGGGAGTCGTCCTCAGCGTGCTGACCCAGCCCGCAGCCCACGTCCCCTGGTGGGCACGGCGGGGGGGCGGGGTCGGGCAGCGAGAGCACGGGGTGAGCACCTGACACATGGGAACGGGCAAAGGGGCAACGGGACAAGAGACGTGTCCCCAAAAAGGTATGCTGATGTCTTCACCCCGGTACCTGAGAATGTGGCCTTATTCAACACTAAGGTCACTGTCAACTGTGTCCCCAAAAGGAACACTGATGTCTTCACCCTGATACCCAAGAATGTAGCCTTATTCAACACTAGGGTCACTGTCAACTGTGTCCCCAGAAAGGTATGCTAATGTCTTCACCCCGGTACCCAAGAATGTGGCCTTATTCAAAACTAGGGTCACTGTCAACTGTGTCCTGAAAAAGGTACGCTGATGTCTTTACCCCAGTACCCGAGAATGTGGCCTTATTCAAAACTAGGGTCGTTGTAGATGTAATTAGTTAAGCTAAGGTCAAAATGGAATAATGTAGGTCTTTAATCGAATATCTGGAGAAGGAAATGGCAACCCACTCCAGTACTCTTGCCTGGAAAATTCCATGGACAGAGGAGCCTGGTAGTCTACAGTCCATATGGTCACAAAGAGTCGGACACAACTGAGAGGCTTCACTTTCACTTTCTTTCACTTTAATCCAGTATGACTTGTGTCCTTATAAGAAGAGGAGCAGAGACAGACCCACAGGGATGAAAAGTCCACGTGACCAGGGAGGCAGGAGTGATGGGGCCACAAGCCAAGGAATGCCCAGGGCCACCAGAGGCTGGAAGAGGAAGGCAGAGTCCTCTCCTAGAGTCTTCAGAGGGGCATGGGCTCGCCAACAGTTTGATTTGGGACTTCTCCCCTCTTGCACTGTGAGAGATTAAATTTGTTGTTTAAGTCCCCATCCCCGCTTTGTGAAAGTACCTTCATGGCAATCCAGGGAAGCTAATACAGAGAGTCTCATGCCCTGCAGCTCAGGTCCAAGAAAAGGTTGACTCCAGGATGGGAACTCCAGCCAGCCCAGAATTCACCGTGTTATAACAAGTTTTTTAAGATGGTGATGGAGGAGACAGGATGGCTCTTGAGTACAAATAAATGATAAATAAATACAAATAAATGTGTGTGTATGTGTTAGTCACTCAGTTGTGTCCAACTCTTTATGACTCCATGAACTGAAGCCCACCAGGCTCCTCTGGCCATGGAATTCTCCAGGCAAGAATACTGGAGTGGGTTGTCACTTCCTTCTCCAGGGGATCTTCCTAATACCTGAATATTCACTGGAAGGACTGAAGTTGAAGCTCCAATACTTTGGCCACCTGATGTAAAGAGTTACTCATTAGAAAAGACCCTGATGCTGGGAAAGATTTAGGGCAGGAGGACAGAGGATGAAAAGGTTGGATGGCATCACTGACTCATTGGACATGAGTTTGAGTAAACTCCAAGAGATAGTGAAGGACAGGGCAGCCTAGCGTGCTGCAGTCCATGGGGTCGCAGAGTTGGACACGACTTAGCAACTGAACAACAGCTCCTGCATTGCAGGCAGATTCTTTAGCATCTGAGCCGCCAGGGAAGCCACTGCTAAATAGCTGAGTCTAATAGCACGGCCTTGGCTGTAGCAGCAGGTGGGGAACAGAGCAAAGCCGAGTGGCGATTCTCTTGACCAGCTAGTTCACGTCAACAGACAGCTTCTCTATTTAGCAAACCCGATGAAAAAGAGTCTGCGTCCTTATTCTCCCATCAGAATTTACTACCTAACAACTGAAAACATAAAAGAGCTTTTAGGTTCAAATTAGGTTCACAGTTACCTTTGTCGAGGACTGAATTTCTCACCTTATCTTAGACTGACTAAATCATGATTGTGTTCAGTGCCTTCAGAACACAGAAGTTGGCATCTTCAAGCTCCCCCGATGCTTCTGACACATTCTAAGTTTAGAATCACAGGGCTGGGGAAGAGTTGCTGTCCAGTCACTGGCTGGAGACTGGGTAGAACCTGCCTGGGCTGCCAGAAATGAAAACTACTCCAGTAAATGGGACCCTCTCCTCCCCCAGGGGCGAGCTGTCCACTGTAGCACATCTATGAACTAGAAATCACCAACAACTGCAGAATAACTTTAAGGGGTAGTGAACATTTAATGCCAACTTCTATTCTAGGCTCACATGGTGAAGAAGCTGTCTGCAATGCAGGAGCCACAGGGAGATGCGGGTTTGATCCCTGGGTGAGGAAGATCCCCCAGGGAAGGGAATGGCCACTCACTCCAGTATTCTTGCCTTGAGAATCCCATAGACAGAGGAATCTGGCAGGTTACGGTCTACAGGGTTGCAAAGAGTTGGATACCACTGAGTGACTAACTCACTTTTTTTTTTTCTTTTCCATTTACAATAGGGGGCTCTTCAATTTCTACTTGAATACCCATAGCAACTGTGGGGGCTCACCACAGTCCTATGGCTGGCATTATCTGGCGTTAAGAAGTTCTGGGACACAAACAGGCATAGTGTGGAGGTTGGAGCTTGACCCCAGGAGCCAGGTGGCTGGAATCCCAATCCCTGCTTTGCTTCACATTTAGCTCTGGGCTCAGTAAACTCATCTATAAGAGGATCGTAAGAACCTCTCTCATAGGGATGTTGTGAAGAGTAAATGAACTACTGTAAGAAAAGTGCCCAGAACAAATGCTGGGATGTGGTAAGTGCTGTGATTCCTGCTCATGCAGCCAAATCTGTCTGCCTCACATCCACCGGCAGGTCACAGTCGGCCACCTCCAGCTACACACACCACTCCTGACCCCAAATGCCTCTGTGTTTCCTGGCTAAATATACCAGCTCTTTTAGACATCCGGAAGAGATGGTTTCCAGGCCACTCGCCACCTCAGCCAAAAGATAAACTCTTGTCCCACAAAGTTGGGAATGGGAACTGACTGTGGCCAGGGTAAGTGGTTCTATTGGTAGCTGCCTTCACCCAGAAAAAAGCAGAGGAGTGTGTGTGTGTGTGTGTGTGTGTGTGTGTGTGCGCGTGCGCGCGCACGTGCACAAAAAAGGTAGGGAGCGAGCACAATGTGCAAAGCCCCAGGCCACAGACTCGGCCTGCAGGTCCTTCCCAGAGCAAACCCACTCTCCTGGCAAGATTCAGGCTCAGTCCTGAGCCTCCAGATCAGACCCTGAGCTCTGCCGCCCCGACCTGTGGGCTCTGCTCCCACAGCCCCTGGGCACTTGGGAGTCACGTTAGACAGGAAGGCAGGAGGCGCACCCTGTTCCTCTCCATCTGACGGTGACCTACTAGCCCCCAAGGCCACGGCCAGGCACCTTCTCCATGAAGACACACAGTGTGAGGACACACCCCAGGACATCGGATCTGAACAATCAGTGATCCAATCCCTCGCTGTACGGAAAAGAAAACTGAGGTCTGAGGAGGCCTGAGCATGGGGCCCGTGGGCACTTCTGAGCAGAGACGGGGGTGGTGATGGAGGGTGTCCTTCAGTTTCCTAACCGTGTGGCNCTCTGCCGCCCCGACCTGTGGGCTCTGCTCCCACAGCCCCTGGGCACTTGGGAATCACGTTAGACAGGAAGGCAGGAGGCGCACCCTGTTCCTCTCCATCTGACGGTGACCTACCAGCCCCCAAGGCCACGGCCAGGCACCTTCTCCATGAAGACACACAGTGTGAGGACACACCCCAGGACATCAGATCTGAACAATCAGTGATCCAAACCCTCGCTGTACGGAAAAGAAAACTGAGGTCTGAGGAGGCCTGAGCATGGGGCCCGTGGGCACTTCTGAGCAGAGACGGGGGTGGTGATGGAGGGTGTCCCTCAGTTTCCTAACCGTGCGGCCAGATCTGAAGAGGAGCCTGCCCCTGCTCCCACAGCCGCCAGCCTGCCGGTTGTTGTTCAGTGCCTCAGCTGTGTCCAACTCTTTGCGACCCCACGGACTGCAGCTCTCCAGGCTTCCCTGTCCTTCGCCGTCTCCCGGAGTGTGCTCAAATTCACATCCATTGAGTCGGTGATGCCATCCAACCATCTCACCTCTGTCGCCCCTTAATCTGCCTGGCTTCTCGCTTTTTCCCAGGAGCTCGTGGGGCATTAATGCCATCAAGATCTCCGCACAGTGCTGCGCTACCTGGCCACAGACTGCCCCAGCCCCTCATCACCACCGCTCCTGGGCCCTCAAACCGTGGAATCGACAGTTACCTGAGGTTGGCCCAAGCTCATGAGCCACAATTATAGAGCTGGCTGCAGAAGACCCCCAAAAGGACATCCGGCCACTCCCCACTGGTACCATCAGGTTTCCTAGCACCTTCACCGCCCTGCACACAACTTGCACCCAACAAACTGGCCCCAGGCTTGACAGATGGGGCTGGCTCCCCCTGTAGCTCTCGAGCCTACACATCTCACCTAATGGCTAAAAACCTGGGACCCTGTTCATGCCCTCCCCCAGCCGGGATCCCAGGATCCTAACAAGAAGGAAAGTGCCCAGATTTACTCTTTCTCCTTGGGCCTCCATGCCCATCGCTCCCAGGATAATTTATAATAAAAAGCCACGCCAAGAGATGGTGACGCTTAACCCAAAGGAGTTTCCAAAAATGGAGCTGCAGCTCCAAGTCCGTGTACACAGCGGGGACGGGGAGAAGGGAAGAGGGGGCGTCCCAGATCCTGGACTTCCCTGCACCAAATCCTGTGCACCCCCACTCCCACGCACTCCCTGGCCAAAGTTGGCGGGTCCCAGGCTCGCCCTCCACCCTCGAGGCCTGCACAGCGCCGCTCGGGGCAGGCCCGGCCGAGGCGATCGTCTGTCCTCCCTGGCTGCCGGCGGGGTCCCGGCTCGCGCGGCGCGGTCCGGACTCGCCTTACCTGGCCCGCCATCCCAGACTCAGTCTCCGCTCCCGACTTCCGGCACGGCGCAGCGAGCACTCGCTCGGTCAGCGATCCAGGTCGGCGCAGNCTCGCCTTGACCCGGGAGCCACTGTACCTGTGTGACTATTTGCTGCTCTGTTTTGTTGATTTGGAGACATTCCTGACACTTAGTAGGCCCTCAGATAAATGTGTTGAATGAATGGAGCGTGAGCCCACCATTCTCCAGGTCAGAAAGGACGCAGAGGGGCTGGGGGAGAGTTGCGGACTCGGTCCGAGGGAGACGATCCCCGGCTGGGCCTCATCCCCGGTCTGGTGGACCCCTGTTAGGACAGCTTAGAGAAGGCGGGCTCTTGGGGCTAAACCTGCGGTTTGCAGGGGCCGAGGAAGCCGGGGTCCAACAGGAGGCAACGCCTGCATCCGGGAGAGCCCTTCCCCACGCCTGCGCCCCGACAGTTCTCTTCCTCTGGACTCAGAGAAAGGGAATTTCTTGCCCAGAAATCCTAGTGTTGATCCCTGTGGGTCTAACCTCCGTGGGTCTCCGCTGGCCTTGCTGCGTGTGACCTCCCAGAACTTCAGGGTACAACGTTGCCCACCTTGATCTGGCCTCCAAGGAAAGACCGCGTGGGTAGAACACCCTCAGTGACTGTCCAGCCCCTTCCCTGGGCAAAGCCCCCTTCTCCACACCCAGGGAATACTGACACAGGACCCATGTCTGTGCAGCCCACGGTCCTGAAGATCTGAAGATATCACAAGGTGTCAGGCGGTGGAAAAAGACAGGTTCAAGTTCAACATCTGCTCTCAGGATTCCTCAAGGCCACAGCGCCCCTCGGTAAGTACCTCAGCTCTGCTTGGTGCCTAGGGCCCTCCTTGCTGAGATCAGCTTCCTCCTGGTAGGTATCCCTTCTCTCAGCTCATCCCACATGCCACCCTTAGTTTCAGAATCCATAAACGTTAAAATCCCCTCACTTAAAAAAAAAAGTAATATCTCTACCCAAGAAAGATATATCTCCTTTAGCATGTACAGCCTTGGTACCTCTTTGATTCAACCTCCCCCTTACCTGACCAAGCTAGGGCCCCAACCGTAGATTCTGGGTCAGAATTGCTTAAAGCAGTTCGCCAACAGCCTATGTGCTGAATGATCCTGTTGCCAAAAATCAGTTTGCAAATAGCCAGTTCTCCCAGTGACTGAGAAACCTCTTTCCTACCATTTAATTTTAGTTGTACCTCCCACCCCATGCTGACATCCACCTTGGTTTCTGTATCTGCCTTGTAAAATGATTGTGGAGAACTGTCCTAAATTTAGATCAGTGTTTATTTGGCAGTTCTGCACACAAACAAAGGGAGGAATGAAGTGGAACAAAAGTTCTAAAGATTTTCAATAATTCAGATTGGTTTTTCAGCAGCTCGATGTTCAGTGGTTTAGCTTTCATACATTTTGCTTTTGGTTCTCTGGTCATTCTGTGAATTGGCTTTTGGTGAACTAGCCAGCTACAGTTTTCCCAAATAGCTAGCTTCCTATAGAGATGCTGTCTACTTCTCTTTGTGAAAACAGCCACAATCAATTTGAGTATTTAAATATTTTCTGATTTTTTGTTATTTCCTTTTCTATCTATGAGGTTATTTTAAAGTATTTTTTAGTTTCCAAATGTATAAGCCTTTAACTATGTTATATTTTTGTAACTGAGTTTTGCCTTGCGTTAAAAAAAATGTAGTATGTGATGCTGATTTTTTAAGGATTTTCTGATATGCACTTTGTGTTCAAGTTATGCAATAAATGTTTCAAAGTGTTCTATGTTTGCTTCAAAAGAGTACATATATTTGTGTGTGTGTGTGTGTGTGTGAGCGTAGGGATCAAGTTAGTTCTATTACATCAAGCTTGGGTTGTGTTATTTATGTCTTCCATATCATTTTTGTTTTAACTTTTGATCTATCAATTACTGAGAAAGGTGTGTTAAAACCTCCTATCAATATTGTGCATTTGTCAATTTCTTCCTGTAATTCTGACAATTTTTCCTTTACAAATTTTGAGACTGTGTTTACAAGTTTAGAATTGTATTTTCCTGGGAAAGTGTTTATTTTATTATTATGAATTAATTCTCTTTATCCTTAATAATACTTTTAATCTATACTCCATTTTGCCTGACTTAGTATTGCTACATTAACTTTATTTTTGATAGTATTTGTTTAATATATCTTTTTCCATCCTACTTTCAAACTTTCTGGGTATTTATGTTTTAGTCGTGTGTTTTATAAGAGCATGTAGCTAGATTTTGTTGTTGTTGTATAATCCAATATGACAATCTCTATCTTAATTGGCAAGCAGTCTATTTACCTTTATTGTGTTTAGTAATATGTTTTACTTCATTTCTACCATCTTATTTCTTGCTGTCTATTGATAATGTTTTTTTCTGTGCCTTTTCTCCATTCTTTCCTTCTATTGGATTGATTAATTTTTCTTTACTCACCTTTTTTATTCTACTGATTTGAAATTTATGCCTTCCTTTTCTATGCTTTTAGAGGTTAATCTTTAAAATTTTATACACATATTTGTTTTAATATAGTCTAATTATATTTTACAGTTCACTCTCCTTCCAAACAATAGAAGGACTTTAGTATATTATGATCTATGCTGTTTAGATTTACCAACATGGTTGCTAGTATCTTCATTCACTATTTTTTCTATTCTTTTTCTTTTCTTCTGGGTTCTATATTTTTTTTCTGAGGTACAACTTTTCAGAGTTCTTATAGCAGATAGATATGTTAGAAGTAAATTATTTCAGTTAAATACCTTATTATTCTCTCAGTCTTGAATAGTATTTGAGCTAAGTAGAGAATTCTAAGTTAGTTACTCTTGTTTTTGTGCTTCATCTTTGCCACCCCATGGACTGTAACCCATCAGGCCCCTGTGTCCATGGGATTTTCCATGAGTGGGTTGCCATTTCCTCCTCTAGAGGATCTTCCTAACCCAGGGATTGAACCCATGTCTCCTGCGTCTCCTGCATTGGCAGGCAGATTCTTTGCCACTGAGCCTCTTGGGAAGCTCCAGTTACTTTTTACGCACTTAATACTTTATTTCATTGTCTTCCAACTTTCATTGCTTCTGTTGAAAAGTCTGCTGTCAGTCTAATTGTTATTCCTTCTCACAAGAATTGTCCTCTCTGCTGCTGCTAAGTCGCTTCAGTCATGTCCAACTCTGCGTGACCCCATAGATGGCAGCCCACCAGGCTCCCCTGGCCCTGGCATTCTCCAGGCTGAAACACTGGAGTGGGTTGCCATTTCCTTCTCCAATGCATGAAAGTGAAAAGTGAAAGCAAAGCCGCTCATTCGTGTCCGACTCACAGCAACCCCATGGACTGCAGCCTACCAGGCTCCTCCATCCATGGGATTTTCCAGCCAGGAGTACTGGAGTGGGTTGCCATTGCCTTCTCCCTGACTGCTTTTAAAATCATCCTTTGTCTGTGGTATTATGAAGTTTCTCTGCAATGTACCTAGGTATGGATTTATTTTTATTTATCTTTCTTGGAACTCCTGGTTCCTAAATCTGAGGCATTGTATTTTCATACAAGTCTGGGAAATTCTCAAACATTATATCTTTTAATAGTGCCTCTCCTCCATTATTTTTTCTCTTTGTAGAATTCATATGTGATATTTTTTGGAACTTTCCATTTTATTCTCCTTCTTAGCTACTCCTTTATGTTTTGCATTCTTTTATACCTCTGTGCTTTGTTCTTGGTAATTTTTTCTAAGATTTCTATCCCATTTCATTCCCAGATTTCTCCTTTCTCTCTCTCGCTATCTAAACTGCTCTAAACTATTAATTTCAATTATTGTACTTTTTATTTTAAATGCATTTCCTTCATCTCATTAAAAATAATATATTCTCATATATTCGATTCCTTATATCTTCAATAACATTAACTATACTTAATTTATAAATCTGTTTGATACTTCTGCTATCTGACATTCTTTATTTGTCTAATGATTTTCATTCATGGTAGGTGGATTCCTCATGTATTTTACTATTTTGAACTGTGAACTCATTTTAATCCAGGTTTCATCAGTAGAATTCTGTGTGGTCTCTTGAAGGCATGCCCCTAAGAGTTTGTGTTTGCTTCTTCTGGGTACTCCAGAATCATTGTTACCCTGAGTGCACTTTTTATGTTAACTTTCAGCTTGGGAAGTTTCTGAACCATGCAGATACTGAAAATTCAAAGCCCTAACATACGTGGGAGTAAATTTGTGGTTATGAATTTTCAGGGGAGATGCTTTCTTCCTCCTGAGAAGAGAAAGGTCCCTTGTCTTCTTGTCTGCTGTTTTGCTAATCCACCCTTTTACTAATGGTGTGGCTAGAGGGGATAAAAACCTAAATTTCCTGGACTGAGATGCCTATAAGACTCAGGCAAGTAGGTGATCTCACCACAACCACCACAGACCTTCTTGCAGGATTTTAGTTCACCCTCCACCCCTATTCCTAAGAGATCTTTACTGCCATGAGAGCTCAGCAAGACCTACAAATGGATATTTGCTCCCTTTTACTTTGCATTTCTGGATATTCTGAGGTAGGAGGAGTTTTAGAAGATCAAGTCTGGCATATTGCTGGTTACCGAAGTCCTTTTCTTTTATTTTTTCCCTTTTCTTTTAAATTAGCACCCTTCTTCTTTTATCTACTTATCTTTACATTCAATTGGCCATTTCTTCATTTGATTCCCTTGTTCACCACAGATAGTTCCTGCTGATATCTGTCTCTGCTGTGTCTGGCATCAAGTAGAACACAAATCTATCTTGAGTAAGTGGATGGTTCTATGATAGCCATTGCTCTTATTTCTGTAAGCTTTGTGAGGATAGCGTGGGGGTCAAAGAGCCCCTGCCCCCATAGGGAAGATGGGTCAGGAGCAGTGCTGTGCTTGACCTACTAGCACCAGAGACTCACTTGTCAGCACATCTTCCCAACACCATGATCAGTGATCTTGTGTTTGTGGCTTGACATTGGATTTGGTGAGATTATTTACACTGTGAATTT